ATTTCCAGCAGCACAAGCTTTGTCACAGCAGGCAAACAGGCTCATGCGGAGAAAACTCAGCAGCAGGACACTCAACAGCTAAATTAAAGCTTTCTCTGTATCCAGTAATCTGGAAAGAAGATGAGCAATGATGCAGCATGGGTTTAGATTTCACAGAACTATTTAGGTTAGCTGAAGTTCCAAGAAAGCTGTAAGGACTTCAAAAGAGAATCAACGCTGCTGGCTGAGCACACAGCATATCAAGACAGTGGCTGTTACTGATGGCAAAAGATACCAAACTAATAGATGCTGCTGGGTATAGATTTCATTGCTGACATCCCAGGTACAAAGTGTCATTGGAGAGAAGGAGTAATGAATAAACCTCATGGCTGAGTTTATGACACCAGTCAGTGCAAGCAGCCCAGGTGTGTGTGGTCACCCACCCAGCAGAAGAACAAGCTGTAATGGTTGCTCAGGACAAACAGAAAGGTCACACGCCTAAAATTAACATGCATGAAAAATCTCTGAAGATCAGGCAGCTGCCATCTGGAGCTTGGTGCAGTCAGGATGCACCCAAGGCCAGGACTTGGCAGGATTTCTGAAAGGACTGCCTGGTTTTAGATACCTGAACATCACCTCCCAAAGCGCTAAACTGCAGTGCTTCCCCAGTGCAAACCCATCATGGCCTGTCCTAAACCAGCTACTGCAAGGGCTCAGCACATCTGTGTCACCACATAATAGCGGTGGTAATTATCTGTAATAACACTCATCAGGATGTAAAGCTGCTCCACCAGTTGGGGCTAATGAATGCTGTGCCTAATATCAGCCTTCCTGGAAGCTGTGTCAGGCCACCAGCAGTTCAGTGTTGTTTGAAACTCAAAGAGAAGAGAAGAGAAAAACCTGGGCATGAGTCAAGGATGAGTGTGCTGGCTGCTTGTGGCCACGCCAGAGCACCTTGTTAGCAGCTCTGAACCCCTTTCCTTAGGACAAAGAGAGCTGAAAACCTTCTGTAATTTCCATTCACATTGGCTCCTGAGATCCTCTTGTGTTCCTTCACTAGTCCTAGTAGATAAAGAGCAGCCCGTCTCTTTCTAGCCCATCAATGCCAGACAATGCAAACCCACCCCTGCTTGTCCCTAGAATGCTCCTCAGTGAGGAGAATCTCCATGTGCTGTCACAGCAGCTGTTACAGGCAGAATACCTGATTCCCACCACACCGGTATTCTGAATTAACCAGAAGTTTCTCCACTGAGATTAAACAGTGTTCGTTTCTTATTTACCCTCCTCAATACACGCTCATTGATTAGCATACTGATTTGGTCAGTTCTTTAGGAAGTGTATACCATGGAAAACATTCTACATTGTCAATTGTAACTCACTGATCAGTCCAAGACATTTAAGAAAGATTAACTGAAGAACTGAAGAATAACTTAAGAAAGACTGACCGAAAGAGGGCCATTCACTGGCTGAGTGGAGAGACTTGAAGTCCACCTAACCCAGCAACTGGGCACCACCTGCGGGATCAAGGACACTTGTCCCACCTGACATTTCTGCCTCAGTCTTCACTGACACGAGCTCCAGCCACACTGCCCAAGCTGTGAAGGCCAGCATGGCCCATCCTGCCACCCCCTCCTTTGTCACCACATTCCTGAATTAACTGACAACATGATTTTCCCTTCTCCTAAGGAAGGGAACCACTGAAAACAAGCGGTCATTGTGGAGGGTGTCTATTCCATCTCCTGGTTATGCTTGAAGTGAAATCTACTTCATTTACCTCATTATCTGAAAAGTAAGGAAATGAACCTACTCTGCAACCTAGAATTTGTCACTGGGGCTGAGAGAGATAATGTGGGAACCTAACAGTAACCCCATCGCTCTTCTATTTATTAGATCTAGCTTTCACAGGTTCCTTTCTAATTACAGAAATTCTAAGTGACTTCTACAGATCTGAGAGATGTGCTGCATATATTTCTCCATACAGCACATGGCAGCTTTCGAAACACCCCAGTGTCATTATATACACACTATACAGAACACACAAGGTAAAATACATAGAGCAAAAATGACTGACCATTCACAGGTACACCTGCAAGCAGTAACACTCTCTCTTCTCAGTCCACAGCCATGAACCCATGAAGTGACTCAGAGCAATTCTGCTGCGTGTGACTATTTGCCCCATTAATCACTGATCCTGGTTTGTGTGCCCCCATGTCAAACAGAACATAAAACCTACTAAAGCATTTGTATACGGTTGGATTTCCTGACCTCCAGCTCTTAAAGAGCCAAGATAAAGTCCACTGTCCTGCTTGTCACTGTGGCATCCGGGGGCTTGCAGGCTGCTGGAAGAACCATTCTTCCAAAAACTACAGCTCAAACTAAGCCAAGAAACCCTGAGTTACACAAGAGGCCAGCCTTTGTGCTCCAAACCCATGTGTGCAGCGGAGCAGAGATGCTACATGTGACACCACATAAAACAGACTCGGGTGTAAGTGATGGATCTCTGGAGGCTGTCAGTTATAACAACAGCATTTGTTAATGTTGTGACTTTGCCAAGAGCCTCTCCTGCTGCTGCTGTCTCAAGATGCCATAAGAACTGGTCCACCAAGCTGAGTATAACACACAAGACACCTGCTCCCCTCCTTGCCAAAGCTGGGAAGAGCTGTAGTACCCTGGAAAGCCTGATGACTCCAGCACGCGTGGAGCTGAGACAGACACAGCTGTATTTGCTCCAAGCTGTCTGTAGTGACGGATGACAAGTTTAACCTGCTTTTCCTCTGTGCTTTTGCACACATTTCATTGACACGAACCACCACATGCTGAGACTGTTGATGTGCCCTATTAGTCTTACATCTAAATGAGTTTTCTAGATGCTCATAACAAAGCATGTTATGGTAGATTTAAAGAGGAGCAATACCCTTGAAGCAATCCCAGTCCTTTTCCTTCAGTCCTCTCTCTGACATCGCCCATCAGTCTGTGCTCTTTAACTTCTGGGTTATTAAACCAAGTGCTTACATTCAAGATGAATTAGTAAATAATCACTTTGCAGAAGGGACAGACTTTCTATACCCCCTTTGGCAGCTGCCTTCTTGCTGCTGGGGTGGCACAGCCCTGGCTGCTTCCTTCCAATTAGTAGCTTAAATAAGACAGAAGAGTGATCTCACACGGGTCCTGTTCAAACCAGCCCAAAAGTTCCTCTGAGGTTCCAGTTTCCCTAAATAGAGCTCTGCTTCCTCCCCTCATAAAGCCTGAAGGCAACGTTCCTGCTTCAGCCCAGCCCAGCCAGGGCCACCAAGCCAGCACCCAGAATGAGTTCCCTGAACAGCAGCAGCTACTCCCATTTCCATCAGTATTGCCACAGATTGTCCATGCCTGCTCTGAAATTCTAACTTTTGTCACCAAAAAAACCCAAACCACACCCACAAAACCTCAACAACCCATTTAGTGTTGTTTGCCTGCACAGAAGTCTTTGGGCCATCAGCAGCTACTCCTGGTGCTCTGGTAGAATAGAGGAATAACTACAGTTCCTCATTCAAATTCAGTTCAATGATATTTACTTGCTTCTAAACATGCAGCATGCTTCACACCTTTAAACAACCCTAAAACCTCATTTTCCAGGCTGAACAGAAAATCCATTTCCATTCATTTTCAAAGACTCAGGATGTATGTATGTAGCAAGTTCGCTTCCATAAATTCACCTTTTTAGAGTCACTGAGTAACCCAGAATTTATGTAAGTGTAGGTCAATCAAATCATTCAGTATTTATATGCTCCCTTTCAAGCTCCAGGGAACTGGAATAAAATGCTAAAAATGAAATACACATGTTGTAACACACAGAAGATTTAGGGATGAAACTATTCTGACAGCCCAGAATAAAAGGCTTTATGCATACAACCTCAATGGGTAGGCCTGCACCTAAATCACATATTGATTCAACTCACTGTACGCAAGTTAGATAAGTTTGGGAATGATGTATGCTTGATCAATGTGTTTTGGAAATGAATTTCTGCCTGACTTAATCATTTAGGCAAGAGAAGAAGTCACACAAATATCCCTATATTTTGCTTTATAGGACAGTAAACCAATTTCTAATCAACTTTGTAAGTAAACAGCTTTATTTGCTCCCAAGAAATATCAATATTAAAATCCTTTTCAAAGAAAATTTGAAAACAGACTTCGAAAATGACTGTTCTCTATGAAACACACACATTATATTGATACGCGAGTCTAAAAACGCGACCATCGGAGACACAGGCGAACGCAAATACCCCTTTGTAATACCAGCGATGCAAAGTCCCAGCACCACACTGAAAGAAGTCAGATTTGGAGACTGGGCCAGATGAGAAAGCTGGACTTATTTTATATTTTACTCCTTAGAAGTGCTAACAGCGATTCTATGAGTGCAGGAGCAATGCCCCCATGAGCACAAGCACACCAACCCTGATGCGGTAGGGGAGTCCTATACACGCAGGTCTCCAAGTGCTTTACGGCAGACAGGGATAACAGAGGCACAGAAAGGCAAAATGACGCCCTGAAAGACACAGTTAAGCTCAGGTATGAATGCCAACAGTGCCGGTTTTCATCTGCAAGCCAAACCTACCAGTGCAAATCTCCTTTCTTAACCACATTGCTCAGATCTCACAGATACTGGTGGGAGCTCAAGGAGCTGGGTCAGTCACACATTTCTCCTCGGCTTTTCCCTAGTCTCTTATCCCCTGGCTAACGGGGTCCATCCAACCAAGAAGTAAGAAGCTGACTGCTGAGGTTTCTCTGGGTGCCTCCAGCAACGAAAACCCAATGGCAACACCGGCCACAGGTCATTCCTGGCAGCAGGAAACAAGCCCTGCTGTCAGCCTGGCACTGCCCTCACCCAGCAGAGCATGACCCTCAGCACAGACCCAGTCAAGTTCACTCTGATACTTCCCAAGCCACCAGCGCATGAAACCATGGGCAGAGCAGATTGCTGCAGCCTCGGGGGGTTCCCTGCGAATGCAAACAGCCAAACAAGGAGGGAGGCCACTTACCATACAGGACTGTAATGAGCGACACGGGCATGACCAGGATACCCACCAGCATGTCTGCCACTGCCAAGGACATCAGGAAGAAGTTTGTGGCATTCTGCAACTTCTTCTCCAAGGACACAGCCATAATTACCAATATGTTCCCCCCAATTGTGAGCAGGATGACAACCAAGATCAGGAGGGCTGGCCAGTTCTTCTCCCTCACAGACATCCGAGAGACTTCGCTCTTCTCAGAGGCATTAAGAGGATCAGATGTAGGCAAACTCTGATTCAGAGTCAGATTGCTGCTTAAGGACCAAGCCATGAGACCACCATGCAAGCTGAAATCCAGGGTAACAGACACTGTCGTTAAGCTGAGGAATATTCCAGGACTACTTAAAGTGCTCATTGTCTGTGACGGGGTTTTGCGTCTCTCAACAGTGCCTCAGAGGTGATCCCTTTTCCAAACTGCAGGTCCAAGGCAGACACTGAACTTCGTAACACCTGAGCCAGAAAATCCTATGCTCTTCCATGGTGAGGCAAACCTTAGAAGCTAGTGCAGAGCTCTTCTGGTTCCCTTGGATGTGGTGGAAGATGACCGCTGGCCAGTAACCTCGAGGGAAAGGAGACTTTGCAATCTCCAGTTGGTTCCCAGGTCTACCATTCTGAAAAGGAAAAACAAATCACTGAAATCACAGCACTTCTTTATATCCCCCTGAACTGACACCCTTATTCTCTCCCTTCCTGCTGGCTAAGATGTTCTCCAGACGGGAAGCAATTTATCTTATGGGTACAGACTATGCCTACAGTTATGGGGGGGGGGAAAGGGAGAAAATCACATCACTGCGTTCTGGCTGGTTAAAAGCTGATTATCACTAATTAAATGTTTTGTGCAACCTGCAAAAGCAAGTCTGAAGAGCAAAATATGTTTCAATTGATAGCCACTTCAGAGCTACTCTGCCGCTGTGTAAAACAGTAATCACATGGAATTCCAACCAATCCACATAGCACAGCCCAAGCACTGTGTAAACCAGGGCTTCCAGTGGAAGTGTTTGACTAGATTTTGCGTATTCTGAGATGAAGCCCAGGTGTAAAAACCCTCAGATGTTCACGATTAACTCTCCTATTGTGGTTTTATAACTCTCCTGTAATGGTTTTTATTGGGCAATAAATGGTGGCTATGTTGGCCGACACTGTGTGTTGCTGTGCTACCAGTCTCTGCAAACAAACTGATAACAAGGATTGAAAGAAAGGACAAATCTTCATCAAAGCTGAGCATTTATTTCTGCTCTTCTTCATCCATTTCTGTGCCACTGTGCTTCCATGATAGCCACCAGCATGCAGCTGGGCCAGTAAACCCAATCCAACCAGCCTGCTGCCAAGGACCACTGGCCCATCAGGTGCGAGGATCAGCATCCTCATCACACACAGTGGTTAGGACAGATTTCCTCAGTGTATTTCTCATGATTGATGCTCCTTCACGAAGTAGCTGACATTGAGGGCAAACCAGATCACAGCCCCTGACTGCCCACGTAATACCGGCCAGAAAGCATCATGCTGCTGCTTCTGAAGGAGCCCATTAGCCTTGTGCATTGACCTAATGCAGAAACTCATACCATTAACTTCAGGCACATGCCCACACCCACTGAGGCTAAAGGTGCATATTCCCAGTCCTGGCTAAATCACAGCCTCAGGAACTCAATCATTTTGACTGCCAATTCCATATAACTTACGAAAACAACAAAGAACACACATCACACACTGTATAGAAGGCAGCCAGAATAAAATCAGTAGCATGCAACTTATCCTAAGCATAATTTCAACTTTTTGTGTAGTCCATGGGAAAAGAGCTGTTCCATAACTGTTAAATAAATAACTAGACAAAAGCCACATTTCAGCCCCTGAATCCACTGTGGCACATGTGTGCCACAGCAATTTGCTATCCAGGGACCAAAAGCTAAATGTAATTCATGGGATTACGTTCGGGTTTATGTAAAATAAGAAGCTCTCAGAGTCCTATAATAAAATGTTTAACATTCATGAAGGTTTTGGAAACTTACTAATGGGCTTTGTGCACAAAAACATTTCTTAAATGAGCAGTGCAGACAATGAAACCAGATTTGCTTCTGCATTATAGTTAATTACTCCCAAAGGGTCTCTAAACCTCATATTTAGGAAGAAGCTTTGCACTATGTGCACAGCAAATAATTCCGCAGCTGCACGAGCAGATGAATGAGGAGCAGTCACTGGACCTTGGGTTTTTTCTAATTTAAGTGGTCTAAAAAAAGTCCATAGAAAGTTTCAAAATACTTCAGAGTATTTTTTCCCTCTCCAAAGCAGCTTTTACTTGAAAGCTGTGAACAAAATCAACCGGTTTTCCAAGTCACCTTTCCACAGTGAAGGAGGCAGTCAGCAGCTTTGTGGCACTTGAGCTTGGCTATGTAGGACACTCCATTAAAGCCAGTGGGAACTTCTGGATCTCCAGAAATTCTCTCTCTTTGGGTTCATTACTCTTGGGCATCCCTGTTCATGCCACAGCACCATCTTGGCAGGATGAGCAGAAAGTTCATGCCCAAACATGAGGACGTGCCCCATCCCTGGCAGTGCTCAAGGCCAGGTTGGACACAGGGGCTTGGAGCAAGCTGCTCCAGTGGAAGGGGTCCCTGCCTGTGGCGGGGTTGGAGCTGGAGGAGCTCTTAAGGCCTCTTCCAACACAAACCAGACAGGAATTCTACAACATACTCAGACAGCAGGAACCCAGCCTTGGTCTTACTTCTTCCCTGGTCCAAGCTCCTGGAGAAGGTGATGCTACCACCACACTTGTCAGAGATTTGAGTCTGCCGTTCCTTGCATGTGCCAGTTGGGGTTGCCAAAGGAACATGACAGGGAGATGCCCCAACTCTAGATCGTAAAAGCAAGACAAAAACCACCCCTCCGACACCCCCAGTGAACAAGCCACAAAACAGACGAAATTTAACTGCAAAATACGGTTTCTGAATTAAAAATGTCTTATTTTATAACAGCTCAGGACTGCAGTGCTGCAGATCCGGCTCCACCTTAAGAATTAACAGCCCTATTGCTTTGTTAATACTTGTCTTATTTCACACAGGTTTAAGTCAGCTTTCTTTTTCACTGCATCCCTCAGCCTCCACAAGGTAAAACTTTATGACTAATTCCTTCAGCTACAGACTTCTGAGCACATCTCTGCACCAGACAAATAATTCACATTTGATTCATGAATTCTGCATATGTTTAAGAAATAGCTCCATAATTTTAAATTAAAACCTGTGCCTACCACAGATTTTTTTTCCAATCACTGACTTCAAAGCGCACATCCTGAATTCTGTGGTCAAGCATCAATCCCAGGGCAATCTACCACCAACAGGCCTTCAAACTGCAATTCAAACATCCAACAAAGCCAGGTTCTTGGCTGTGCCACTCTTGCCTTTTGATAGAGTCAAGTAACAAGTTCTTTGGGCACGTTTTCCCTTCAGATTTAGTCCAGTTTAGAATAAACTGAAAGTAGAAAACAATCAGGTTTGTTTCTTTCCCCTCAAGAATACCTGACTTATTTAAGCCAAGTGTTTGAGATGCTGAAGCTTTCATATATTCCAGAAGGTTAAAACCCAAGAGCTATGGTGGTTCATAAGCCTGTAACTAGCAGGGCACTGGGGGTTCGGATGCCTTTGGGAGTGGTTACAACCATTTCTCTTGCTAAAAGGAGCAAACAAACAGACAAACCTTTCTTGGAATAAACACAGTTATTTTCCCCTTTGAATTAAATGCATTTGTCTTCAGTTGTTTCACCCTTCAAAGCTCCTGGAGAAAACCAGCCACCTGCTGAGAACTCCTGAAGCTCCCCGGCCACCAGCCAGGATCCTGCCTCTCCCGGATGCACTCGGAGCTCCTGTGCTCTCATAGATCATTCACTGACTCTCTAGGACTCGCAGCCTGAATGTTAACAACACGCATTTGGAATAGGGCAAGAAATCAAAGATTGTCAATTTATCCCCCAAAAAAGAACCCGAGTCTCAAGCTGGCTCCGAGAGGACAGAATACTTTAATTCCTGCTCAGTCTTGCTGTAAAAAACCAAAGTACTTAATGATCAAAAATTATGACTTTCAGCAGTTTCCTTCCCATGAGAAAAATAAGCAACATCCAATAGCTTGTCGTAGGGACAGAGGCCATACCTGAGCAAAAGAGATGCCTTCCTCCTAAACTATCAGCAGTACTCACTTCACAAGGTCCCATTACATTTCATTGCTAAGCAGAGGAGAGCCAATAACTTGTTAAAGATCAACCATGTTTTTAAGCCACAAGGATTTCCTTCCGCCTTGGATTAGATGGGAGCCTTCCAGAGGGGTAAAAATAAACACGAAGATGAGCAAACTGAGCTGCAAATACTGCAGTTCTTCACGGGGAAGCAGTTGCAGATAGTTCACAACTATGTGAGCCAGACAGTCGCCTGATGTGAATTGTTATGGCTGCATGAAACCCTTTACAACATGACAAATACTTTAAAGTTATATACTAATAAATAATTAACACCCTTCAGGCTCAAAAAAGCACATCTAAGGCTTCATTCCCCACTCCAAACTCTGCATTTCCAGCTATCTGCATCTTTACTAATCTATTTTCTTAATGCTTGCCAAATTCATTTTCATTTCTGTTTGGAACAGAAGGCTGCTTTAAAATACATCTTTTCACAACTACTTCGCAAGAGCCCCTTTAGTTTTAGTGACTGAATAAAGGCATATTTCATATTTTCAGAACGTTGTATTTTAGGCACTTGCAATTCACTTTTTATCTCTGTGTGGCCGCAGTACCATACATCCTTATTTCTGTGCAGATCAAGAATAATGGCTTTAAACTGAAACAGCATAGATATGAGGAAGAATCATAGAATCATATGAATAACAGACTCGTATGTGTTGGAAGGGGCCTTAAAGCTCCTCCAGCTCCAACCCCTGCCACGGGCAGGGACCCCTTCCACTGGAGCAGCTTGCTCCAAGCCCCTGTGTCCAACCCGGCCTTGAGCACTGCGAGGTGTTCCTGTTGAGTTGTCCAAGAAACCTAAGGCTCAAATATGTTCTGCAAAGTGACAAACACTCATGTCTTTCGAAAGCAGCGTCAACACAGAAGTTGTGTTTTCACAGCCATTCCAGTGGGAAAAGAAAAATCAAACCGTAATGACTATTCTGTAGATGCCCGCTTCAAAATGAACTGAGGATGCAGCCCAGACACTTCAAATTAAGTGTTTAAATACTTTCCAGAGATGCTCTTCAAGTGGGGACCCTATTACTAACACTTGGATCAGGGACTTTCTCCCCAAGGAATTATTCAATACTCCCTCTTCAGATCAGCAAGATATTCTGGAATTTTTCCCAGCAGGTTCCAGGGATAAATCAGAGTTAAAAACACTCAGCAAAACCTCGGGGAAACCTCCCCAAACACAGCTTTTTACCACTTCTTTTAATTCCAACCCAGAAAGCAGCTATTTAATGACTTGCAAACTAAAAAAAGAGAGAACTTCATTTTTTCCACAGTAAGAGGAAATGGATTTTCTCAGACACAAGCTCAAGTGTGTGAGAAATGACATTTTGTAGGGTCATAATAATGAATCACTACCATTCTGTCCATAACCAAACAGCATTAATTTCCCTC